AGAGACAGCCAGACAACCCGTTCCCCCCCCCAACCAGAATTTTTATTGCAGATTCGGGGTCCTCTCGCCGAGCGCAGAAGGACCCCGCTTTCAAAAAAAAAATAAAAAAAATTCTGGGCTGTTTTTTTGCCTGCCCGGTTTGCCCCCGCCGGGCGGCGCCGTACTCAGGGTTACATATATTTTTTTCAGATTTTTTTTATTTCCTTTTAAGCCGGTTTTTTTCGGTGGGGTGGGGGTGGGGGGACGGATCCGGTCACCAGACCCTGAAATCCAGACCCAGACCGTCTGCACTGCAGTCCGGACGTCAGGATCGTGACCATGCAAAAACGGGGCTGGCAGTTTCTGAACTACAAGGAACCAAGACTCAGAGCATGGGCTCAGTACCAATTAAGTATCATTAACTATTTTGTATCTGCCATTCAACACAAGAGCAAGGTGCAAACATATGGAAGCTTTTTCGACTTACAGGAGCAGTCAAGGGATGAAGCAGAGGAGCCATGAGTGTGGCGATTTCCCTGACCGCAGGAGGCTCAAGCCCTCCAAGCATGATGTATGGCGATGTACCATTACCTAAAAAAGAATTTGACACAAGCATGAGCAAACAACAAAAAGCAGAAATGGCAGATGAGTTGCACACAGTACCACACACACAGGCTTTACTCGCAAAAGGGACAACAATTTCTTGCATCAGTATTGAAGGTTACAAAAGTCTACCAGACCTACGGGCCTCGCTCGCTCAGTTGGTACACCCATGAACTGTTGAAATACAGACCTGTGTTAGTCAATTCCAAATCACCTGAGGCTACCGTCTTCACCCGAATAGAACGCCCGTCACCCGGTAATTATCTCTGTATCGAGACTGAAAGTTACCCGAAATACAGCTATAATGACCGGGCGTTCTATTCGGGTGAAGACGGTAGTCAGTCAGACGATGATATCTCAAAGCTGTTGCCTTTTATTGAAGGGAAAAAAGGGGTGGGGGGGGAGGAGGAGAGGGGAACAAAAGAAAAACAAAGGCTTATCGGAACCTTATCTGCATTGGGTTCCTCAGATTACTACGGTACCCACACATCAATCAAACAGCAGATGAGCCCTGAAGAGCATGACGTGCAACGAAGGTGTAACAAAGGCATGATGCAACCATCTCCTCGATGCATGTTTTGGGCTGATGATTGCCACTCAACCGTGCAAGTGACCAAGCTGCTGACTAGTAACCTGGAATGTTTTCCACCATACGATAAGATGTGCATCAAGTGGCCAGTGCTATGTTGATTGGTTTTAAGTTTTAACATTTGCTTTCACTCTTGTCAGTGACGGGTCTGTGACTCTGTGACTCTGTCACTCTGTGCTTGCCTCCACTTATTTGGTCCGGTTGTAGAATAGCACTATAAAACAGGCACTTGTGGCACAAATAAATTGCTCCATGGCACGCGCACGCACACCCGCACACACACACACACACACACACACACACACACACACACACACACACACACACACACACACACACACACACACACACACACA